ATTTATAAAAGAAGAGGACAATAAACATTTTAAAAATCTGTTTATACACTCAATTCTTACCAGTTTGCATCAATGAGAAGTACCATTTTAATTCATTCCTTATACACTCTTGTCTTATCCCAATCCAACTAAATGAGGAATAACTAATAGGAATGAAGGACAATATGGGGGGAAATCCCATTTCTTCTGGTCATACTGTTCTATCATACAAGAGCAAACGTACTATATACACTCCAATGAAACCATACTGCAATCCCACATGTTAATACTGGACAATTAAGAACTGCTATGCATAGCATCAAAATGTATAAGATACATTAAACCAATTCAGCCAAAAAAGACCAAACTTCTACTAAGTGGTCACTATTCATTTTTATACCAATAAACACCTATACGCCAACTTGAAGGAAATACCAGGAAAAAGATTATCTCAGCATTTTCTTTCATGACAGAAGAGTCTTTAGTAAAACAAAGAATGTGAGATGAACACCAAGAAAGCTCTTTGAGTATTTCTCCAACCCTCCCACCTTTTCCTAATGAGAAGAAAATTAGACAAGGGGAGATATAACTTATTTTTAGAGCAAAATGGGTGGAATGAACCAAACTCTTCTTGTGTAAACAGTTCCCTTCTCTATATTTTCCCCTCCCCATTTTATCCAGCTTCACTCTTAGCACCAGATGAAATAAGTCATGGGGGAGCACAATGTCCCAGGGTAAAGAGTAATTACACTAGCAGACTACTACATAAGCTGCAGACATGAGAATGTATCACCTTGGTGCTGTACGCTGGATTTCATAAGATAGAACTGTCAAAACTAAATCTGAGGACTCTTTGCTTAAGAAAACCCTAAGAAAAATTCATGGGGTTGCCTTAAGTCAACAGGTAGCATAGCACATAAAACACACATACACATGCACAACTCATGCATCCTTTGTTTTTGTTCTGAAATCTGGGCTCTCGCCTTTTGTTTTTGTCTGACTAGGGTTAACTTAGTGGGCCTAAATATCTTAAAGGCAACAAATCCAGTCTGATCTTGTAAACTAAACAGGGTCAGTTCTGGTTAGTACTTCAGTAAGAGACTGCCAATGTTGTAGGCTATTTTTTTAGAGGAAGAAATTGGCAATTGCAATTCTCAGTATTCCCTGCCTAAGAAAACCTTATGAAATTCATGGCTTTATTATAAGTCAACAGGTACTTGAAGCACACATATACACACGTGGCCATAACAGAAAATATGGCAAATCAAAAATCAAAAAGTTGTATCTAGGGCAAACTGTTATGTTGAAAATTTCCAAAACATTTGATTTACTACTCACATGCAGCAGAATTGTATATACTGTTCCATAACCTTCATGTGCAGCAGAAGCAACACAGCCAAGAAAAGAAATACTTCCTTGTTATGGCTAATCCTGGAGGGGAATAGTCAAATTGGGGGAATTGAAGAAGATGCAGATTTCTCGTTTTGTACTTGGATTATTGTTAGGCCCAAAGATGGTGCATTACATGAAACAAGCAAGCACTTTTAACACTAATAAGAGGGAAAAAAATTCTAGCTCTAACATTAAAAATGCAGTCAAAATCAATGTCAAAGTTGTTGAATGTGGACAGATAACAGAAAATGTATTAAACCAAGAACCTATTCAATCCCATCACAAAACAACTTGCATTGCTGAGTTGTAGTACTGTGTGTGTGAAGGAAACAATACAATAAAGTCTGATCTGGAAAAGAAAGGAATGCTGTTTCGATCTCTGGTACCAAATTTTCTGGGGCAACATTAACTAAAGTATACCTGTATATTGAAATGAACTCCAGTAAACTTATCACAGGTACAGAAGTGCAGCCTAACTTTTCCAAACTGTATGGCAATTCACTAAATTAAAAACAAAAACAAAACCTTGGGGAAAACTTAACTTCTCTTTCAACTATACAAATTATTATTAAAGGTGAATGGGTATGAATGAAGTTAAGAACCAGCATGGTGTTGCAGTTGAGTGTTGAGACTACCACTATGAAAACCAGGATTCAAATCCCCACTGGGCCATGGGAAGCTACTGGGTGGCCTTGGGCAAGTTACACTCTCTCCGCATTAGAAAAAGACAAAAACAATCCCCCATGAACAAATTCTGCCAAGAAAACACCACGACAGATTGACTTTAGGGTAGCCTAAAGTCAGAAATTACCTGAAGGCACACAACAAAATGTGTAAAATTAGTATTTTATGGTCATTTTATCCCTAACCTATTTAGTTTTAAATAAAAACCTGGAAATATTCAATGAGCCCTAAAACCCAGTGCTAGAAGATTAAGAATCCAGAATATTTTCAGTCTTCTGCAGGATTAGCTCTTTAAATATTTATATATCTCTTAGAAATTTCAAGTATTTTTACAGCCCTCACAAGCTTGATCCTCCAGAAAACAAGATGAAAGTCTAGAATGTTAAGCTACACAATGTCTCCTGAGCCATTTCATTCTCTGTTTTATTATAATCGCCTTATATCTATAAACTATGCCCCTCTCTCCTTTTCTCATGAGTGAAGCCAAAAACATTGTAATGCAAGGGTGTGGTGGACAGCTACAATCTCTGTGGTACAGGTTAGGAAAGAGTTTGGTAGGTATGTCAATTCAGTAAGTCGCTACTGTTGTATGTTCTAAAAATACAATTTAAGTCATCTAAAAATGAAAAAGTATTAAATGATTAGGTCTCTCCAATATTACATTACTACACTACTTAAGAACTTGAACACAGATAAATTGCAAAGTATGCTTTTGAGATTCAAAGAACATTCGATACTAGTACTAACTTACATCCAAGAGCAATTTCATATGAGTTATACTCTTTTGCTACATCATAATTATAAATAACCATTGTATATTAAAACTCATTTGGAAACTCCAGAATATTTTTTTCAATGAGAAACCATGAGACACTTTCATGATCAGTCACAAACCACCCCTTCTTCCCCTAAACACACTGAATCTTCAAATATTTATTGGTTCATGATCCACAAGAGCCCTCAAAACACAACCCAAAGCCACCTAGCAAGTATATGAAGCCACATTACGAGCCCTATTTGAAGCTAACTAATCCGTATAAGCTGACCTGCTGGGAACACAGGTACTATTCCTGTTCTCCCACAAGCAATTTCTCTTGATTTGTACAGCTTAAACAAGAACATGACAGACCAAAAAGAAGTAATGTGTTTATCCCAAATAATTTATCTTTAGACTATTTCTTGCATTTTTTGATATTTTACATATACAAACTCACCTTGCCTTTGCTGATCAAGGATACATAACTGGGCTTGAACAAGCAATTTACCTCTTTCTCCTCAAAATTCCAGGGATCCTTCCTTCATCCCATATCAACTTAAAAGATCCCTTCTGTGTAGTACTGGGGACTGCTATAGAAGCTCAGGGGAAGAGGGAGTCTGCTAGCTTGCTCATACTTAAACCAACTATCTCTAATCTAAAAACCAACACTCAAAACTGCTAGCTTGCCACAGAAGAACTGTTATCTAGTTATCTCATACTATTTGTATAACAGAACATGCAACAGATTTCATGACAGATTGTGTCATCAGATGCAAACATACTATATGTAATCATTTTCAGACTCACAAAATGCATTATTCAAACTTGAAATCAACTTTTTAAAACCAAAAACACCAAATCACTCCCTTATGACTGAAACTAGGGTCATTTAAAATTAGTCACTAAGATAAATGGTGAAGTTACATAGAGTTACCCCAGGATATAAATCAAATCCACAAGCTTCCAGCTGCCCACTCTTGTTAAGCAACATGTACAAAATGCTGATTGTGCAGGTGTAGCTCTAACAAGAGAGTATCCCTAAAGAAAGTGACTGTATTCATATGCTAAACCCACGGCTGTTATATACATTGGGCCTTACAGTTAAACAGTCAACCAAAATAGCATGGATGTGTAGACTAGCCATCTTGAGTTCCACTGGGGAAAGGGAGATGAATAAAAGAGCAGGCATAAGAGTACCAAGTGTTATCCTATGACATCAAAAGAATGTGTTCTTGTCACACAAACTTTTGAGCAAGATTTATTTTTCTGATTAAAACTCTCAACTTTGCACAAAACTTTAAAGTAATACACTCTACTACCCCAAATCACTTAACACATAATGCTGACCTATGTCTGCTCTGCAAGTCACAGAAGTTAATCTTTCCACAGAAAAGACAGTATTTTATCAGCATAGAAAACATGCAATCATCTTATAAAATGCTTATTACATTAGAACTTGTAGAAAAATAAAAATAGACATACTTAATTCAGACCACTGCCAATTATACTATTCTGAAAGAAACACTAAGCCAGGCATGGGCAAACTTGGGCCCTCCATGTGTTTTGGACTTCAACTCCCACAATTCCAATTTTGCACAAATCGATTAGAAAGGGGAAGACATCTCACATTCTAAGAAATCTACAGCATTCCTACACCTTTGCGGCACACATGCATCTGTGAAGTGTGGTATGCACACAACTTTATATTTTTGCAAGTCTATCTACCCTTCATGTTGTTCTAGAGGACAGATATATACAAAGCTCCTTCATTAACCAAACTAACATTTCAGAACATAATGAAAATAATATCTTGAAGCCATTTTTGTACAATGCTCATATATATTTTATCAGCCATGAGAAAAGGGGTGGGAAATACTCAAGTGTTTTTTAAAAAAACCCTAAACCGAAATGAAACAGAAAATTGAGCTTCCAATATCTCGATGATATGAGAGATCCAGCAATCTCTATTTACTTACAAAATATGACATACTCCAAACAGAATCAGATTTTATTTGTCTGCAAAACATTGCTTTTAAATGTGTACTTGAAAGGTCACAGAACAAAACATGGATTTAAACATTATTCCAAAAGGAATTATTTCTTGCTCCTGCCACAACAGTAAATCAACAAATCTGCACAATTGCAAATAAACGAGAAAAAACATTTGTATTTTAATGTGATAATGTACCTTGTAGAGGTGCCTTTCCTGACATCGCATATGCTGCATTTAAAGGCTTCAGCACTATTCCTAAAGGTGCAGACACTACAATCCCAAAACCCTTCATCGGCTGCAGGTTTTGCTTGCCTTTTTGGCCTTGAGAAGTGCATATAGGAAGGGGGGGGGGAGAGAGGAGGAGGTAAGAAGAGAAGAAATAAAATATGCATTAGAAACGAGATCATAAAACTAGGTTGCTTCATGCTATACTCTACTTTACTTTGCCTGCCTCTTTCCTGAAAAGTAACATTTCTGAATGGAGGGGGTGTCACCTAAAAGCTAATATACCACTTTGTTTTCTCCCCTCATGGCACGCATATCCTGCCCTATACCCAACCTTGCTCATCACCACATCCATTCCTAAAAGAAAAAGGGGGACGTTCACCCTCAGTCTTCCATCTCAAGACAGTCAATTTCCAGGCTACCCACTAAAGGAAGGATGCAGGAAGATATCTTCAGGGCGCTTGTTGCCCTCCCTCCCTCTTGCTTTTTGTGTGTGTAGCAGGGAGAAGAAGCAAGGAGGACGGGTGTTTGTACTTTAAAGGATTGTAGGCGTGTCCCTCCATGCGCCCCCTCCGTCCGCCTGTCTGTCTGCCTTCTTTACCTTGTTAAATCTCCCTTTGTCTGGAAGAAGTCAGTGTGAGGAGATGTGGAGTGTGCACATAAATGCGAGAGAGAAGAGAGTGAGGAGCCGCCATAGCTGCTCCAACACCAGATTAGCCCTGGCACCAACACATACACACACAAGGAGGACACACAAACACTCCTCCTCCTCCTCCTCCTCCTCGCTTTTACACACTCCATCTTAAGAGCCACCCTGGGCACCAAACAAGCCTTCCCCCTTTCAATACAACCCCACCAAAGGCTCCAACACAATTGAAAACAAGGACTTTTCTGTCCCTGCTTCAAACCAGCTCTCCTCTCACTTCCTCCATCTTAAAAGCCCCCCCAGAACCCCTTCCAGTCTTCCTGACCGATTCCCAACACAATTGAAAGCCAGGGAGTTTTCTATACCTGTTCCACGGGCAGGAAAACAACCTCTCCTCACTTCCTCCATCTTAAAAAAACCCCTTTCAGTACATCCCTACCAAAGGCTCCAGCTTCTCCTGCCCATTTTCCCYAACACAATTGAAAAACAAGGGAGTTTTCTCTACCTGCTCCAGAAGCAGCTCTCCTCCTCACTTCCTCCATCTTAAGAGCAGCTCCCCCCCCCCCACACACACACACAAACCCCTACCACACAAGGAGCCAATTTTGCGACACAATTGAAAAGCAAGACTTTCTTTTTCCTCTACCTGCCTCGGGGGCAAGGAAAGGCAAGCACTTCCTCCATCTTAAGAGCCCCCTTCTCCTCCTCCTCCTCTTCCCACGACGACAACCATCTCGGGGCCTTGTCCCTCGGCGAGGCGCCTCCTCCCCAGAGCACACAACCGCCACATTGTCGCGTGTGAGTGTGTGTTGCGTGCGTGTGGCTGCTCGGCCTCCTCTCCCTCCCTCCCTGCCCCCTCCCTTCTCCTCACACAGCGCACCAACCCTCCTCCATCTTAGGAAGAGAGAGAGAGAAAGCTCTTTCTCTCTCTCCGCTCTCCCCTCCTCCCTCTTCTTCGCCCTGAGTCAGCCAGCCCTCTTCTCTTCGAGTCTTCTTCCTCTCTTCCTTACCTGGTCGGGCTCTTCTTGTCGCCCATGGCCATGGATCGGTCGAGGCGGAGGGGAAGGAGAATTCCGCCACCGCCGCCTCCTCCTCCTCCTCCGAAAGGCAGGCTCCGGTTGCTTGCTTTCCAGCCGCTGCCAGGCTAGGGAGCGCAGCAGCCGCGGGAGCAGCAGCAGCAGCAGCCCCGCTCCCTCGCCTTGGCTCCCCCTCCCCCCTCGCTCGCTCCAAAGTGGGCGGAGCTCGAATCCAGCCTGGGCCAATCAGAACCGCCGTGCAGCAGTGGGCGGGGCTAATCCTGCCAATCAGCCCCTCCCCTCCCCTGGCCTTTGGGGCTCCGTGGGGGCCAAGGGAAGGGGGACGTGCACCCCCACACAGCCTCACTACCAGGAGGAGGAGGAGGAGGTTTGTTTCTTCTTCGTCTCCTCGACGACGCAGCTTCTCCTTCTCCTCCTCCTCGCTGTCGTTGGCCACCCACAAGGCCAGCGTGTTGACCCCGCCTCTCCTTCCAAGTCCTGCGAGGAGCGACACAGGGAATGGGAAACAAGAGGAAGAGGCAGGAGCAAGGAGCGCCTCCTTTGGCCCTTCTTCTCCTTTCCCTTTCCCCTCACGCTCCTAGGAATGCGCACGCGTGTCTACATAATATATATATATATATATGTAGACACACACACACAAAAGCGGGCAGAAGTGTGTTCGTCACGCAGAAGAGGAGGAGGAGGAGAGGAACATGACGTGTTGCCGCCGCCGCCGCCTCGAGTTGGGCGGCCACCCACCCGCGCGCTCGCTCTCCTCTCTCTCGCTCGCTCGCTCCGTTGCGAACTCGGCTCCCAGCCGGCGCGCGCACCCAACTGCCGCCCTGGCTCGCGCCTTCCTCGCGCAGAACGTGCGCCCAACCGTCACCTGCTTGCGTTCTTTTTCTCTTCTTTTTTTCTCTCCAACGTCTTTACTTCCAAGGCTGAAGGACAGGGATCAGGCCCAAGCGGGGAGTGACGTCATGGGACAACGGCCCCGCCCCTCGCTCGAAAAATGGGTCGCCTGCCTCAACTCAAGGACCTTCCACACAGCCATACAAACCCAGAATAACAAGGCAGAAAATCACACATTTGTCTGCTATGAGCTGGGATATATGGTAGTGTGGACTCAGGGCCCTGCCACACAGCCATACCACTTAGAATAGCAAGGCAGAAAATCCTATATTTCTCTGCTTTGAACTGGGATATATGGCAGTGTGGACTTTCAGGGCCTTTCCCACAGCCATACAATCCAGAATAACAAGGCATAAAATCCCCCATTTATCTGCTTTGAACTGGCATATGTGGCAGTGTGGACTCAGACCCCTTCTACACAGCCATACAACCCAGAATGTCAAGGTGGAAAATCCCCCCATTTATCTGCTTTGAACTGGGATAGATGGCAGTGTGGACTCAGAGCCTTTCCCACAGCCATACAATCCAGAATAACAAGGCATAAAATCCCCCATTTCTCTGCTTTGAACTGGCATATGTGGCAGTGTGGACTTTCAGGGCCCTTCCACACAGCCATACAATCCAGAATGTCAAGGCGGAAAATCCCCCATTTATCTGCTTTGAACTGGGATATATGGCAGTGTGGACTCAGGGTCCTTCCACACACCAATACAAACCAGAATGTCAAGGTGGAAAATCCCACATTTATCTGCTTTGAACTGGCATATATGGCAGTGTGGACTCAGGGTCCTTCCACACAGCCATACAACTCAGAATAACAAGGCAGAAAATCCCCCATTTATCTGCGTTGAACTGGGATATAGGGCAGTATGGACTCAGGGCCCTTCCACACAGCCATACAAACCAGAATGTCAAGGTGGAAAATCCCCCCATTTATCTGCTTTGAACTGGGATATATGGCAATGTGGACTCAAGGCCTTTCCACACAGCCATACAATCCAGAATAACAAGGCAGAAATTCCCACATTTATCTGCTTTGAACTGGGATATATGGCAATGTGGAGTCGGGGCCTCTCCACACAGCCATACAATCCAGAATAACAAGGCAGAAAATCCCACATTTATCTGCTTTGAACTGGGATATATGGCAGTGTGGACTCAGGACCCTTCCACACTCCCATACAATGTCAAAGCAGAAAATCCTATGATATCTGCTTTGAACTGGGTTATCTGAATCCACACTGCCATATATTCCAGTTCAAAGCAGAAAATGGGATTTTATTCAGCTGTATGGAAAGAACTTCAGTGGGCCTGTCCCCCACAAAGTGTGTAAGCAAATGCCACAAGGGACGGCACCTCGTCTCCTTAAACCATTAGTTTCCAACCTTTTTTTGACCAGGGACCACTTGGGTCAGGGACCTCTCTCCAACATTAGTACCAAAAGGGTTGTGGAGCCCGCCATGGTGCAATGGGTTAAACCTTTGCGCCAGCAGGACTGAAGACTGACAGGTCGCAGGTTCTAATCTGGGGAGAGCACGGATGAGCTCCCTCTATCATCTTCAGCTCCCCATTGTGGGGACATGAGAGAAGTCTCCCACAAGGATGATAAAACATCCTGACGTCCCCTGGGCAACATCCTTGCAAACGGCCAATTCTCTCACGCCAAAAGCAACTTGCAGTTTCTCAAGTTGCTCCTGACACACACACACAAAAACCAAAAGCATTACGAATCAGTTTTTGGTCTTTAGATTTGGTTTGGCTATCTGGGGTGCTGATTCAGAAAATTGCATTGGATAGAAAACATCAGCTCTAGTTTCTGATACAGAGCATATGCCAATATATGGCAGTGTGGACTCAGATAACTCGGTTCAAAGCAGATATTGTGGGATTTTCTGCCTTGGTATTCTGGGTTACATGGTTGTGTGGAAGAGCCCTGAGATGAGAGAGTCAAGATTATATGGGTCACAGCCTTCAAACACATTCTGGATACAACTGATCTTATGATTTGGGGCGTCAGGGGAGTAAGCCCCACTGGATACAATTAGGCTCATTTGAGGCACACTTTTAAGGGCCTTCCACACAGCCATATAACCCAGAATATCAAGACAGAAAACCCCACAATATCTGCTTTGAACTGGGTTATCTGAATCCACACTGCAATATATTCCAGTTCAAAGCAGATAATGTGGGGTTGTATTCAGCTGTGTGGAAGGGGCCATAAGCACACTCAGGAAGATGCCTCACCTTATATGACTGGATCTACACTGCCATATAATGCAGTTTGAAACTTCATTACATGGTCAGCATAGGCCCATGTAATGCTGTTTAACTGCACTAAACTGCATTGTTCTATATTGACCGTGTAATGTAGTTCCAAGCTGCATGGCAGTCTATATTCAGGGCCCTTCCATACAGCCATATAACCCAGAATATCAAGGCAGATAATTCACAGTATCTGCTTTAAACTGAGTTATCTGAGTCCACACTGCCATATAATCCAGTTCAATGTGAATTTTATGCAGCTGTGTGGAAGGAGGCCTTAGCCTCCATTGCTGAATAGGGCCTCCATGACTGCCTCAAGGAAGGGGATCCAATGTGGACAATGATTCCACTCTCATTGATGCAAAGTAATTCCAATTATTTGATTGCTGGAATTACTTTGGTTGGAAAAAGCCACAAGAGCCATCCAGCCCAAACGCTGCCATGCTGGATCACACAATATGGTGCTATTTAAAATTATGAAGATGGTGTCTCCAGCTCAAGAAGGATATTGACAAGCTGGAACATGTCCTGAGTAGGGGGACCAAAATGAACAAAGGTCTCAAAGCCAAGCCCTATGAGGGAGCTGGGTTCTGTTCAGCTTGGAGAAACAAAGGCTGAGAGGACACGATCACCATGTTTAAATATTTCAAAGGATGCTACACTGAGGAAAGTACAAGCTTGTTTTCTGCTGCTCTGGAGACTAGGACATGAAGCAATGGATACACATTGCAGGGTGTGGAAACATGAAGACAAGCTTCCTGATGGTAAGCACTGCCTCACAATCTTACCTATCTGAGATAAGACTTTCATATTAAGTTTTCCAAATAGTGATATGAACACTATTTAGTGGAAGTTAAAGTAAAAAAAATAATACGTACATTCATGGTTATCTACCTCACTTTCATAAAACCACACAGAAGAAAAGGTTATGCCTGCACCTTATATCTAGTGTCCTCAGTGGAAAAGGATTCGTCTTCTCAGTTTGGACCAGCACATGGACCATTGTGCAGACTTATATCTTTATTAAATTCATATACTACATTTCTTCCTGCAAATAATATACTTTCTGTTTTACCCTATAGCCAGTCCCAATCCCCAGCAATGTCCTGTGCTTTTAAGAGAGTGCACTTCTCTAGAAATAATTTCACAGACATTTACACACCAAAATGGAAGGTTGTGCATACAGAATCACCACTGCTTTATATCATTAAAGGGGGGGAGGAATCAGCCAACTAGTTTTGTTTTTCTCTTTAACAAATGACACTAATCCTTTAAGCAAATGAGCAGTATTTCTACTTGTCCATCACAGATATGAGACAGATTCAATCACCACTCTCAAAAGCCACAGAAATATACTTCATTGTTCATCCCAGAGAAGTCACTTGCAGCATGAAAACTGAGTTATGAGCAAAGAGAGACACTTGCTACCAAAAGCAGACATTTATGAGCACTGGGCCCATAGGCTTCATGGTGACTAAGGAATATGCTTCCCTCTCTCAAATGTCAAGATGAGTCTTATTCATTGCCTGCAGAAGATGAGAAACACCAGTCTTTTCAGAAAATATGAAACACTCTTGAGGACACATGAGCAATTCTCTTTCTGTGAATAAGTGAATGCTTCTCACCATGTGTATTGGGGACACTCAGTGAGAACATATATGTGTCTTGAAGTTGCCTGTCACTCCATGAATTTCATAGGGTTTTCTTAAGCAAGGAAGAATCAGAGGTGGCTTTATCAGTTCCTTCCTCTGAAATAGAGCTTACAGCATGTGGGATTTGTTGGTGGTCTCCCCCAAGTACGCATGATTTTAATATTGAATGGAATGTTTTAAATGCTTAATATGTATTAATTGTAATTTAATTTAAATCTGAATGTTATTGGAATTGTATGTGTTTTAAGGCATTGGATAATAATTGCCTATATGTAAACCACCTTGAGCCCTCTTCAGGA